CGTCCATGTATCGCACCCGTACAGCCCCGCGCTCCAAACATTCACCTTTAACAATATTTTTCGAATTTCTAAATTGACTGTTCGCGGGCATAGAAATGACTTTTTTTTATTAAACGCGATTCTACTCTGCACTATCCTCTGCTTTATATCCCTACTAGTCCTTCCGTTCTGATTTATTTGACTTCCTAAATACCTAAAATCGGCCACTTCTTCTAATTTTTCGTCTCCTATCTTTATATTCACTCTTTCCCTTCTTCTTCATCCCTTATATACCAGTATTTTTGTTTTACTTTTATTTATTTTCATACAATACTGTCAATGCCATTTTCATTTTATTTAAAACTGAAGCTGGATGCTAACACGACTCTGGCATATTTAGGTAAGGATATTCTCTATACTTACAGGGCTATCCAAAATAGAATTAAGAATACAGATATATATATAGAATGAGTGTGCGATGCTTCTGCCTCTATTACGGTCCCCCCTTCTATAATAGTACTAGTAGTATTTACTTCTTTGTATAAAACTGGTCTGTAACAAAAAAGTAGCTCAAATTATTATAACTATAACGAATTGTAAATTCTTACTGAAAATGGAACACGGCAACACCCCCTATAGTAACAAGTAGAATAAAAAAGTGAATTATCTGTACTTTACGGATAAATTTATGACGAGTGGCTTTATCTTGAAAGGGAGTTTCATCCTAAAATATACAAATTATTAATTATAGCTTGTCACAAGGTCTTTAAAAAGTCAAATATGTTTGAATATCGCGAATTTCATAACAAATATATTAGTACCTAGTAAGGGAGAATAAGTAAAAATAAATTTAAGGAAACCAAACAATCCCATAACATATTTGCAATCTAACCCTACGTACGATTACTGTTTTGTTGTTACATGAAGCAGCTACGGGACATCGTGTAGCATGTATATAAAACGTATAGGTACCTATGTCGATAAACATTCTGCATCATTATAATTTTGTTGTCGTTAGTTTAAAATCAAAAATGGAACTTCTAGGGGCCTAAATATTTAGTTTCATTCGATACGGTGGGAATTACCATTTTTATAACTATATTATCTCCATGAAAGCAGTGACCAGTTTGTTTGTCGTCATTGGGAATAATCCTTCAGCAACCAAATTCGGATATGTATGGATGTAGCTGTTGCCCAAACAGCGGAGTTCATACAATCGAGTGATTTTAATAATGATTTGACAACGACAAATAGTTTTGTGGTATAATTATACATACGGTGACATAGACGTGAAGTAGTTTAAAAATATTTACCGTACAGTTATATGAGGTCTGTTCAAAAATAATTTCCGCGGGTTACGTATATTCGATTTTCGATTTCTTTGTCGTTATGTTGGTACTCATGTCTGTCACTTATATCGACAAGTTCGGCCATGTTGAATGTTCAGTTAATTTTTTTCTTGGATTTCTGCCTACTCCAAAAAATGGATCAAAGAGTCTGTATCAAATTTTGTGTGAAAAACAAAATTAATTGCGCGGACGCATTCCGAATGTTGACTGTGGCTTATAGCGGATCTTGGACCGAAGCAACGTTTATCGGTGGTATGAAATGTTTTTAGAATGCTGAGAAGATATGAACGACGAAGAGCATGCCTGACGCCCGAGCACGTCAACAACAAACGAAAACACTGATGAAGTAAAGAAAATAGTATTGGTCAATCGTCGAATTACCGTTAGAGAAGTTGCTTAGGATCTAAACATATCGATTGGCTCCTGCCATTCGATTTTCACCAATGGTTTGGGGATGAGAAAGGTGGCCGCAAAATTCGTACCAAAATTGCTCAATTTCGACCAAAAACAGCATCGGATTGCTAAGGAGCTGTTGGACTCTCTCCGTGGCGACTCAAATTTGCTCCAGAAGGTCATAAGTGGGTTTATGGTTATGACGTCGAAACTAAAGCTCAATCATCCCATTGGAAGCTGCCGCACGAGCCAAGACCAAAAGAAAACCGCGTCAAGTAATATCACCTTCACCAATTTGGGCAAAGCTATCCAAGAGAAACGCCCGGATTTGTTGAAAAACAAAAATTGGCTTTTGCACCATGATAATGTCCTTGCCCACACATCGTTGCTTGTGCGCGAATTTTTGGCCAAAAACAGCACACTAATAATTCCGTAGGCACGGTGTTCCGCACCCTGTAACTTTTCTTGTTCCCGAAACTGAAGAGGGCCATTAAAGGACGACGCTACGCTATGATTGAGGAGATAATGATGGCATCGATGAGGGAACTGAACAAGATCACAAAAAATGATTTTTTGAAGTACTTCCAGGATTGGAAAACTTTGGCATAAATGTATAATATCTAGTGGGGTTAATTTGACTGAGCCAAAATAGATATTCATGAATAAATAATTTCTGAAAAAACAAAAAATTCGCGATATTTCTTGAACAGACCTCATAAGTACACCACTAAATCTAGGAAAACGCTAGGGCAGGAAAAATTTGAAATGCTTACAATCGCTTACGGCAATCAGTCCTATAATTTTTTTACCGATGTACCTATTTCTTGATCGTTTAGGTTTATAGGAGCATTTTAAAAATCGGATTTACTCGCGAACTAAATTAAAATATATTGAAGAGTTATCTCCAATCTCCCTTAAAATGATGGAACCGGTACAAAGTGTTGGAATGTCCTTCGTATCACAGTAAATAAAAAGTTACCATATTCAATATTGGATTGCAGTACACATTCAGTTGCTGTTGAAATGTTAAATCTTTTGGAGTGGCAATGTATCTATTAAGTAATTGCTTTTCCTCATTCACAGTTTCATTTTCTATGGTAACTGATTGACTGTTTAAATGGGGTGATTCCGTAGGCAATTTGTTATCCTTGATTACTGATTGTAATGCCAAGAAATTATTTAAATTTGGTTGTTCTTTTATTTGAAGTTCTTCAATTGTCTCATAATCTGGTGTGACTGTCGGAAAATCAACTGCTTTGTGGTGACTTTGACTCATGTCTCTATGTACTTCATTGTGATGACTTATTTGAGACTTTTCCCTTAAATCTTGTGATTCTTTCTCAAAACTAATAGGTATATTGTCAAGGTTGTTAAGATCGCAACTATGATTTTCTGATTTCAAATTATCTCTTGTTTCCTCGGTTTCCTGTTCATCTTCATATTCAGAACAACATTGTCTCTCATCCATATTGTCTTTAGTTTAACTATAAATATATGTGACATTTGTTAAATTTGTTCATTGTGTGTATAAAATAACAAATAGGAGTGCAAAGGCTACATTGATGTTTTAACATAGCATATTTGACTATTTCATAGAGAATTTAATAAATACAAGGTGTTTGAAATAAGTAGAGAGCTTTGAAGGGTATTAACCAGATGCAATAGCGAATTGCATGGTGAATAAAATACAATACTGTTGTACTATTCTGTACTGACCTAAGACACTAACACACTGCCAACGACTTCGACTAATTACATGCATATAAAGTTGCATCGCTAAAAGAACAACGAATTACCCTAGACTAAGTGTAACATAAACAGCGTTAATAATACTTAATCTAATATAACAAATAACAAACAATGCATGAGAACAAAACAAACAGGTCCTGTATTTTCAAACACGTCGAAACTTTTGGACAACCAAACATTTCCTTCTAAATAAGTGTCGTTATTTGCCGAGTCACCGACGGTTTAAAATTAAAATCAGATTTTAATTTTTGCTTTTTCTGATGTCTATTTTGGATATTGAGCTTTTCAAATCTTCCGCGGTTAAAGATGTTTGCAGATTGTTGTACTGCCTTAACAAAGCAATGTGTACATGAAATTTTTTATTATTAAGTGAATAAGTCATTTATTTTTAGCCTATTTCAAAAAGGAAGGAGAGGTTTCCAATCAGCGTTGTTGTGATACCGCAATTTAATGTTGACTTAGAAATTGTAATTGTTTATTTTAAAGTGAATTATAATGGGAAATTAAAAAAAACATTATTTTTTTAATTAAAATCTAAAAGCTTTACAAAATGAAATGGCGGAAGAGAGAAGAGGTCTAATTAGGCGACATGACCTTATGTCAAATATATTAATTTTACTTAATTTTTCTTTTACGTAATTTATGGACAGACTTGAGGGTTGAATTTTTCTCAGTATAAGTTAACAGTATGAACAACTAAGTATTCATTGTAATTATGCCTGAATGAATTTAGTATAATACCCAAAC